TTATTTAATCATTATTATTTAATTTGTTTTTCAATGTTTCACAATCTAACTGAATGTATACACAGAATAACAAAACACTGCATTGTGAAAGATGACTAAAACCCAAGAATATATGAAATTTTCAGCAATTTTGCAAGAGTCTGTCCACTTTATTCAAAGTAGTTCTTACTAGTCTGTTTTGAAAATGAAGAGTTGGAAGATTTACATATATGCCATCTTTTTTATGCAAGATAATGATTTTTTTCCCAGGAGAAATCGATGTATTGCCTATCGTCAATTTGTGAGATGGTGCTGGGGTTGGCTTGGTCGACATGTTCGTGTACGACTCCCAGCATGTGCTGTTACATCTATCAGGAATGCTTTCCCTGCACCGGACGGTCAGTACAATGGCTTTAAATTTGAATGAGAAAACAACAGAACACTTTCTTATTTGTATGCTTATTTATGATTAAATTAGCTACTGTTTTTTTTTATGTCAGTTTGATATTTATGTAGACATTTTGTTCCCATTACTACATTAAATATCATATAAAACCAACATATGGTCTCTTTATTATTATCAAACACATCATAATTATTAAAATGTAAAAAGGCCAGGCCCCGGATGCTCAAATATTATTAGAGATATTAGTGGTGGTTATAACTAATCCTCAAAACACATCATTTATTTTTCTCAAAAAAATCAAGTAAAATGATTAAAATGATCTCTGGTGTTCTTGATTTTGTTGTATTCAGGTTACAGTTTTCTCTAACTGATAAAAAGTATCTTTTAACAACTGGGGCCAGCACTTTGAATAGTCCAACATGTGTAGTCTCCATATCTCCATGCATACGTCATAATCCAAGACACCAATGTCTCAACTGTAGGCTAGTGCCTAAACCTGGACATCAGTCCAGAAACAGCTTCGGACTTCTCTGGGTGAACAAAGTTCATACATAGTGGTTGTGGCGATTCTCCAACAACCTCGCAATTGGGAATCTGTAAAAGTTTCACCAGTTCCTTGGTTGCTTTCATCAAATCTGTAACATAATCTGTAACATGACAAGAAAGAGATATTAGACCTTTTAAATGATTGCTCTTTTACTAGTTTTAATATGCATAAAGTGCTATAAAAATGCACAAGATGATAAATTATTGAAAATATGGGAACACAGAAATTTGTAGTTGCCACATAATAACATATATATAAAACACTCGTTCTCAAAGCACCAAAAATATAACCAACCAACCATCAACTTTACATGCCAGCAAAAAAATAAAATATTTTGGCATATTCTGTCATTGGCAGTTTGAAACCATTGAATTATTTTCTAAAATAAAATTACGAATGAAATTGAATAATTATATAACTTACTGAAGGTGCACTCTGTTCTCACTTGTCGAACTGTGTAGTCACAATTCTTTTGCTTGGGGAATGTGATTCTGTATCTCTTTTCACCATTTTGAAGTGACGCCTGTTCTCTCGAAACATTCTCATTGAAGTGCAGTGCAGCCAGCAACAATCTGCAGAAGGGAAAAGAGCAATCTATATCAGAAGGGAAAAAAACCTACACTTGACAACGAAATATCTTACTGACAGTGTCATCAAACATAGTTGAAATAGTAAAAAAAACAAAAAACAAAAACACTTTCTACACAATGTATCAAATGTGCTGTCTCAACATTTCAAGACCAACTGTCCCTTTAAACTAAAGGAGAGTGAGCGATTTGTTTGAATTTAACGATGTGACGAAATCATACTTTTTTAGTTAGTGCATTTATCCATGTCTGGTCAAAAGTCATTGATCCCTTGCGGGTTTATGTGTTCTTACCATTGACTAGGTTAGATAATATTAACATAGAATACAAATGTCAATATTATTTAAACAAAAATCAGACTGGTTTTGTTAGCAACTAATTGGGGCCAATCATTGCGTGTCATCAATTTACACAAAGGTAAAATAATACCTTACCTCCATACTTGAGCTTAGGTCATCTTCTTCAATATGTGTCGGTGCCTGTGGACATGAAGCATCTTCTGGCTCACGTTCTTCATACTCTCTAATCAACTGCAATTTGTAAATAAGCATGATATAGAAATGTCCCCTTAATATCAATATTTTGTAATGCAATTCATTTAGGAAATTTCTGTTTTATAATTTGTTAAGATTGACATATTACTAAGATATTGAGATTTAAAGCTATTACCTTTACACATTCACACAGGTGCCTGAATAGTGTCACATTAACTTTAACCAAAAAAGTCGAAATAGGATTTCCGTCGAAACAGGTTACACGTGTAGAAATCATTGGTCATCAGTACAAGATTGCAGATAATATATTTATATAGGAAACACATATAAACACTCACACGTTGGATGTCCCTTTTAACGAATGCCGACCTAGGCCTTTGCACAGTCTTCGGTGTTGTCAAATCAGTCTCGGTGCCTGAGGAACGTTTCCAACGAGGTGTCGGCATGGTCGGTGTCGACATTGTCGGTGTCGTTGCAGTATTGAAAATAGTAGGGAAGGCATCTTCTTCTAGTATCCTCTTCACAGTCTTCCCACTTGATTCCAACAGTCCTAACCGGAATTTCAGTGGAAAACAATCTTCTTCGAAGTGGGCACTGCACAACACTGTGTGACGAGTCGGCTCCCAATCTTTGCGTTTTCTTCTCACAAAAGCAACCCATTGTCGGTGAATATCAGGTCTCTTTGCAGGAAAAGTATGCATGGAAACTCCATTGATAGTAGTATTGGAGCATCCTCCTGCAACACAACGTCGACCACTGCGAGATACCGGCGTGTTTTCTTTGTAAATCACGGACATGACGAAGATGTTTTGATAGTGTTTCGTAATGGCTACCCTAGTTTACCTGAGTTTGGGTCACCGCTGCTACGTCACTTCCGGTCGTAGGTCAAAATCGGAGATTTTCCGATTAGCGCTCAGGTGTGAAATTTAGTAGAAAGGTTACAACTTCGGTATTTTTGCCAAAAAAAAATTGTGATTTTTTTGAGTGTTTTATATATCAATCTTTCTTTACTTGAAAAATATTGCAGCACTACAATTACTCTTTAAGATTCTATACTTTTCGGTTCTCCTTCAGAAGTTGTTTGAAATGTTTGACACAAACTTATGCAGAATGTTTATATATATACATGCATGCAACCCCTGGATCCCAATGCATGCAATACACTGCAAAATTCAACTGTAGGTTTTCATAATTATACATATTATACACACACTGTATGAGTGACCTCCCCTGATTTTGTTTTGTAAATATAGCGACTGTATTGTGATCAGAGGTCCTGGGTTCGAATCACGTCCTGGCCGTTTTTATTTTTCCTCTTAGAAATCTGTTGATCATTATTTTGGTTTACAGACGGTATTGGTTTCTTCTCAGAAATGATAGAGTGAAATAAAACAATTTTTGGCAACATAAAAATCCAATTCATATAGTTTTTGCTGAATATTCTTAAAGAGAAAATTATTATAGAAAATATTTAAATCACTTAGAAGAACTGCGTTGTATGTGTGGTAGACGACAATACTTTTTTACACTGTTCGTACAAAGCCAGCAACAAGCAACATCATGAATTGAAGAAATTTTTACATAAATGAAAAGAATGACAGCTATCCTTTATTTTGTCCCAATTTAAGGTCGAATGGTCAGAATTAAAGGACCTATTGAGTGTATTTGTGCTGTACTATAACATCTGCCTGTAATTCGTCAACATTAATGGATGGAAGGGATCCAAATTGTACAAATAGAAGGGCTGACCACCAGGAAGATTAGAGGTGGAGCCTGAAAGAGGTAATAGTTTTGAAATGTTTGAGATACACAACCTCTAACAAAATTTAAAATTGCTGAGTAAAAACAGAGATAAAAACACATTATACAAAGATGGCCCCACCGATGGAAACCCAGACAACGCATATTGATATTTTTTTAATCCTGATCCCCACAACTGCTTACTTGCAGAGTTTTACCTCTTGTTTACTTAACGTTTTTTGAGTCCATACTGGATAGGCACATACTACTTAAGCCCCATCCTCGCAGAGTTATAGCCCTTTGTTTACATAATTACATCCAAGTATCCACTTGGGAATAGTGGCTTCCGTTTGGTTAGCATGCGTCCTGCTTTAGAACAGCGTCCAGCTCGCAGTTGGTCATCGTCCGTTTTGCGATCGTGTTTTTCGGCTAGATCGGCCGAATCAATATCGATTGGCTTTTCTGGAGCATACCGTAAAGTAAAAATACAAGGTGATCATATTTGGATCAAAATATTGAACTTAATATTTGACGATTTAAAATTGATGTCATTTGCCATAAGCCTGAGTTGTATTCATTTGGCACTAAAGTTCATTGCGTCATGTGTATGCTCCCGATGTGTGTAATTCTATTTGCTGTCTGTACATAGGTGAAGTTAATGTCTAGCAGGACTCATGGCGAATGAAATCTAGTCTCTCTAACAGCTGTCTTAGACAATGTTAGATAACAACCAGAATCATGTTTATGAATAATGAATAATGCTATCAGTTTTATTTACAAACATTTTATAAAAAGGTCCTTATAATGCTAATCAAAGCAAGCTGATAAAAATACAGCCTTCAATGTAATTAACAAATAGACATCAGTCTTTTTTACTTGAAAGTTGATCTAAAAAATGTGGATATGAACAGTTTATTTTGATTAAGTCTGCTGAAAGCAGCGGATCCTCGAGCGCGGTTGAATTCCTAGCGGGAATGGGAAATATTGACGGCATTTTATTCACCTGTTTGAAATTTGAACGATTTAATTTTGTCGATCTAGATGTGAACAGTCCAAATGATAAATCAAAGCTCCGCCTAATTGCCCCTCTTTACAGGGGAGACAAATCCCATGTCAAACTGACACCGTAAAGGAATAACAAAAGCGAACGTTCATATTTGATTTATAATAATCAACTGTACAAGTCAGTGTTAATGATCATGACTTTTTAAAGAATTATACTGTTTTTATTAATCCAGATTGGTTGTTACAGTACAACCTCTTTTAAGGTGGGAAGAAAATATCAAATACCATCGCTTGTCTGAATTAGCATTCCGATGTGTTCAAAGTCCTCCAGGCGCCCTGTGGCATCTAGAAAGTTCGTAATGGAGCTACCACTCCAGAAACGACCCGTTTCGTGAGTGATCTCATTCCTTCCGTAGTGATTCCAATAGTCTTTGTTCGATATTTGCTATAAGACGACATATTGTAAACACTTGATCGGAAAGCCTTGATATTTAACACTTACGGCTAGGCTAATGAAAACAGAAAGTAGCCTTCCAAAGATCACTACACCAGAGGAAAACATTAAGGTATCTGAGCGGGCAACACGAGGCTCAGGAAAAGGCGACATTATAATTCTGATTCTTTCACAGACGATTTCCGATTAGTGTTCGCCGATAAACGTAGTGTAGCATACAACATGATGCTATTTATACGAATACAATTAAGTAAACCAGACTAATGAATTTTGATAAGGTTATTTGTTTATCAAAAACCGTTTGATGACATTTTCAAAACCAAAGACAAAAAGTCTCTTTGTCTTGTGGCTTGTTATTATTGATTTTTCACCTTAGTATATATCAAACACTTATCAATGCTATTATAGTCTCATTTAACAGCATGGATATGGGGCCGAGTGTTATACCAGGTGTTGCATTTTTCCCTAAGCGAAAAATGAGTTGATAGTATGTTGTCATCAATATGCTATAATGTAAAAATAATAGTTGTGATGGTCGTGTAAAGGTTATGGAATATGTCCTGGGTAAAAGCAGAACAGCCTGATCCATGAGCGCAGCCACTTCTGTTTGAATAAAAAAAAATCCGTTCCTAAAATAGATTGTGATATCACTAGCATATGAACTATAACTTAACTGAATAAGGCTGTAGGCATTGAGGTCATTTTGTCGGTGCGGAGCAGTACAGTGTGGAGTGTGAACGACAAGTGGATAGAATGGCTGCTAACGAATCAATTCGTTTAAGAAGGATACTGATATGTTCTGCTATGATGACCGTCATGACGATTGTCTACCTGTGCTCAAAGGACACCGGGCAATGGTAGGGACTGACGAGTATATAGAATTAAAACCTACTATTTGCCTACAGATAGGAAATCTTAATACATAGGATACAGCAGATATGTGCCATCCATTTGTGTTAGTATATGATATATGCTATGGTATCGTGATCTTTTTCTCAAAATAGGTGGAAGCAATAAAGTTGCTTCGGTGGTGCGACCTGCCGTTTCAATGCCTGGCATTTTCGCGTGTCCGGGAACTCAGCATAATGACATGTGACACTTGGAGGCAATAATACGTTTTTGTCAGTACTTGTTTTAACAAATTTAATGACATTTTTAACCGGCAAAATTTTGTAAAATTACATTAAAGAAAAAGTGTTTTGAACAGGCCAAAATCAGAACTGAACCAGTCACTTTGGCCTGCAGTCAGTTCTTCTTAAAAATCCTAAACACAGTATACAATATTTTATTTTATGTTCATTTTACAGATTTTTAACTGCTTATGACTTTCAGGTCAAAGTGGCAAAACAATTTGAATCAATGCGTAGAAAACATTTTGCATGCTATAGAACCTGGTATAGGGGTATGATATTCTAAATATTGAGAAAACCAACGAGAAGATATTGTCAGTGCCTGACTTCGTATGAGTCAGTCATACAATACCCGTTTCTATTTATTGAAGCACGAACCATTTACTTAAAATAAATCTTAACTGATCATAACATAAGCTTTATGTGCACAAGTACAGGTGTCAATATTACCAATGATAAAATGATAAAAGTGTACATGTATTTCTGATGTGTCCCAATGTAGGCACTATTGAGAAAACATTCAGAATAAAATCCAATTTTTCGACATATCACAACAATATCGACCTCGTTCTGTTAATAATCCTGTAAAATATGTGAAAAATAAATTAAAATGCATTATAACAATTGATTATTACTTCAACAGGATGTACACCGCCATGTTCTTTTTCTTATTTTACTTATATTTTATGCTGGTACAAGATACAAGATACAAGAACTAAAAAGCTTCCAAATTATAAATTGAATTATTTCTATTTAATCGATAATAGCGATATGCATACATCAATTATTTGAAACTGGAGGTGAGCAGGGGATACATAATTGCCCCCGACTATGAATCGTATATTGATGCACGTTATATACAGTCGGGAGCAAACTCAACTTGGTAGCTTAGTGCACTGGAGTTAACACTGAAGTGAACTGGATTTCACATCGATGTGCACTGGAGTTCATATCAATGTCCACTGGAGTTAACTGCAGTTCACAAGGTAATTTTCTTTATCATATTATGTCTAGCCTTTTCATCAGTCTATACATACTATGATTTTCTTCCCTCCCGTCTGCTCAATAAATCAATAGATAAAAAAATATATTAGATATTACCTATTCATATTTACATTTGCATGGCATTGTCACTATAATGTCTCTTTGAAAGCTGTGTCGTTGATGGGACTTTAATTACCATGCATCACGAGACACTATTCTTAGCGTATTAATACAACACTGACCGGAACTACAATATCCAATATAAATAAGCATGACGGCTGCTGAAATATCGCTGGGCATTGTGAGATTTGACAATGTCATTGTACATTAATGTGCAAAATAAAAAACAAAATAAAAAACACTTTTATTACAACGAAAGCAAGACCAAGGTCTGCAATATCGTACAAAATGCACATCGGTTGAAATCACCAATGCCGGCAATGGAAACAATTTTAACGCTCATGCAATTTATCAGAAATATCGTCTGTTACACTGCACTGATCAACAAATTATAAGTTAAAAAAGAACATAAGAGGCAGAGAAAATGTAAATATAAGTATTGAACTGTTTTTGTATGGTATTTATGCGCGCATTATGTTGCTTGCTTGCAAAGCTGTGTCATTCAAATAGATCATAAATACCATACAAAAACAGTTCAATGCTTAAATATACTTAAAATGATTTAACTATAGAGCGTGACGACCTATTAAACTATTACCACATGCACTAACTTGAATCCATGGTACATGTATACACATGTATTGGTGGTTTAAACAGTATTATGTCTACATTAAATATACAAATCTATCATTATACTATTAGTAAAGGATATTGAGTCTTGTTTTTATGTTCATTTTGGAGGGGAATGAAAAGCTTACGTAGATAAAGAAAAAATACTATACATATATGTATTGTCTCATTCATGATAGGTAACAATGTATTGTAGTTACAGGAATGCAGATCTGAATTCGTACAAACCATTTATTTAGAAACAATTGAAAATGCAAATATCCTAATTGACTTTTCTACAGGTAAATTTAACCTGTCTGAACCGTGTAGCTAGCACAGGAAAAACTGGTGTTGAAATGCACTGAGGGTGTGTGTATTACACAAAGTATAGGGTCTGATGTCAAATTACATTTAACTCCTAAACAGACCAGGCAAAATCCGAGTAGAAGGTATGGGGGGTGGGGGAGACAAAGCACCGTATACACACCAGCTGTAGAAATTATGTTTCTCTCTCTTTCCCTCTCCATCTCTGCAAACGGACGGTTGGAGTGTCTTTACCCTAAAAACATCCCTATGTTCCAATGATATGTATTTTCAGGGGGGTGGCATATTTCTTTCAATTGTCTCTTTGTAAATCAGGTTATCAACAAAATTTAGACTTTCTTAAGAAAACCCCCCACTAAAAAACAAACAATATTGATTCTAGAAAGTGTGTAGTTTTCTAGTACGGAATTACATGCTCTCTAAGTCTGTGTTTCTAGTAAAAAAACACACAGGAAAATACATGTACATGTAACTACATGTCTACTATGAAAATAAAATATAAAAATAAATTTCAATAATGTCTAAAAATTTAAGTTTCAAGAGTAGATGATTTATGCATAAAGAATGCCAAAGTGATGTGTATATGTAATTCTCTTTTGAACAAAATGATAGATTTACTATAAATGATAACTACTCCTAGTCCTTGGGTCATTTTTTAGAGAACACATTTTAATGTGTTCTTGATTTAACCTTCTCATAATCCTTCCCGATTTATTTTGAAATTAAAAATTAAATTTCCTAATTGACCTTCTTGTTCTTTAATTGTAACACCTGTGCCTTGTTGTTATGATGGACTACTAAACGTACAGGTACAACGGGCTCTATCATAGTCCTGTGACTCATTAATTGATGCTGGGGTGTGTTATAAACACACAGTTTGTAAACCATTTGAGGGATTAGGTAGTGTGAAACGGTATCGTCTCACGTAGCATACATTTGGTATTTTCCTATATACAGGTAAGGTCTTTCAGATTTCAGATTTCAGTTTTTATTTCCAACACTCAGACACATGAAAATGTGTAACATGAGGTACATGTAGATAAATTCATATATTAAATTTTGACAGGATAGACAGGTGCATGCATGTATACAAGCAAGATTGTATTGAAACTCAGACACATAATATGTGTTACATGAGGAAATAAAGGTGCAGATATGGAAAATTAAGTACAATATACATATTTGTATACACATGCATAACTGAAAGAGTGGACAGTTTAATTTAGAAGCGGTACGGTATAGTAACATGATATGACATACAGTGGAAAATACAAGGCAAACATAAAAAACAACCATACATATAATTCCCAAGTTATTTAACTATTAACAGTTATACATATGCATCATTCACAAAAGAGGAGCCATTTTGGTTAGGAAAATAGATAAACCTGTCAGAACTCGTTGATTGCATAATGATAAAAGACCTTCAAAAATATTTGGGTTTGTGCAATAATAACGAGGAATATATTTGTTACGTAAGGTGGATATAGTTATATTATTGCATTCAAATAGATAATGAAATTCACCCCCGTCACTTTCCGCGCATAGTCGATTATCTCGGGGTATGTTACATGTATACCACCTACATGTTTCAATTGGAAACTTCAAATTCGAAGTGCGCAGTTTTGTTATTTGTGTTCTGATATGTTCTGGCAGATTTAATAAATATTTTTCTAGACCAAGTTCCGTTTTAAATAGAGTGTACAACTGCCCACGATATGAGCTAGTAATGTCATCGAACCAATGCTGTACAAAGTGATCGTTAAGCCGTTGTTTTGTAAAATCCATCAGGCTTCTGTAATTTATTATCAAATATGTAAGAAAATCCCGTTTCATTGAAAATACCTTTTAATGTGTTTGGATGTATGCAAGGTGAGATTTGGTGTCAGTTAGAAAACAATAGGATTTAATTAATGTGAAAATGAACGAATACATAGGAGTGATTTTTGGTGTAAAATTGTATTTATTCATAGAATAGTCTTCATCATAATAATAGGGAATATCAGATTAAATGTCCTTACTTTACATATTATCAAACTACAATACTTATTTTTTTATTTAAGTGTCACATATCGATATACATTGAAACTACAGCAGATTTTACAAAAAGTAAAAGCTATTTCAAAATTTAAATCGATCAGTTATCGACATCCAGCCAAATCTGGCTGATGAGACACTTAAAGTCATTATCACACCTTAAAATAAGTAAAGTCACTAGCACTGTACATAATTATATAAAGTTAAAACATAGGCGTCTGTGATACACATGCTATAGAGCAGCGTCTAAAGTCGATAATACCGACCGGTTTCGACTTTTAACTTAAATTTGTTTACACGACATTCCCAACTTCTCCGTTTTCCTTTTGACCACTAATGTATTTTATAGACTAGTATATTGTGAGCGGTTCCATTAATCCTTAACCAGAGCCTACCGACCTCCACTTTCTGTTCCACGTCACAGGGACTCCAACCAAGATCGCCACTTGTGGCGAGATTGGACGAATTTCTTCCGGTATCGAAGAAGTAGCGGTACGCTTTATTATTATTTCTCTGGTCAAGGTTGTAACATCATTATACCATTGTTGAATAAATTGGTCATGTAAGCTTGTTTTCAATGAATGTTTCAAAAATATATAAGTTCAGCCCGAGTTACTTGTAGTATTTCATTAATATAATGTATTCCTATTAAAATGACAAGGAAGGGTCATTTCACGTTATCTGTATATCATATTTTACACATTACTCCATTATTTATGCAGTATAATGGTAAACACATATTCAAAGTAGTTTCATTAAAATATTATTATTCCATATATACCACATGCCTACGGTTCTATTAACCAAAACTTTATGACGGTATATGGTACGAATTGTTTTCTTCAATTTTATCTTACGAAGTATATTCCTGTAAAGTATAGAATACATGTATGTCTCAGTAGATTAGAATACTTGTTTGCATTCATTGAGACTGCAAGAAAAAGAAATGTTCCTTCAGAACAAAGACATTGTAAGGAATGTACCTCCACAGACATGTTAACTTGGAGTAAATTTCAAAATCTAAGAGTGCGGTTTTCCGACTATTCAGTTGGTAAGTGTCAAATATAGTAAACAGCTATGTATATTACGGAAGTTTATCTTTGAAACTTTTAGAACCTCTTAGTTGATTATATTGTGTATTATGTACATCATCTCTATACATTCTCTATACATCTTTTTTTTGTACATCATGTACCACATATAAGGGCCAATAGCCCAAGCTTTGAATAAATGTTGACAATATTGACATTTGTGATATTATGGTAAGTGAAAATTATAATTATCTTTCCTATCTAAAGTGTATGTCCACACAAAATCAGCTTGAGATTGAAATTTTGCAGACATAACTATAAAATAAAGGAAATGTAAAAACAACATTCAGTCAACTGTTATTGTATCAGATGAAATTTATAGACATGCATTGCAGAATTTTAAACCATCTTTGATATTAAGATTAGTTAATGAATCTTTACTTGATCAACAATAATTTAATATTTTAATAACATGTAGGCGGCTAGTACTGTACCTGTTATAATATCTGTAAAATTATTTTTCAGGTTAAATAATGTATCCTTTTTTTTTTAATATTCATATTTCATCTACTACCATGTGTCATTATAATTTTTTACAAAGAAAATGGAATATTTCTCTGATTAAAGTAGACATAAGTTCTTAATTATAACATGTATTACAATACCATCTACATCATTTTGAAACAGACTATAACCAAATTGTGATCAGGTGTGAAAATTGAAATGTACGCTAGGTGAGACTAGGTATTTTAGCAATGTATGCTAGGTGAGACTAGGTATTTTAGAAATGTATGCTAGGTGAGACTAGGTATTTTAGAAATGTATGCTAGGTGAGACTAGGTATTTTAGAAATGTATGCTAGGTGAGACTAGGTATTTTAGAAATGTATGCTAGGTGAGACTAGGTATTTTAGAAATGTATGCTAGGTGAGACTAGGTATTTTAGAAATGTATGCTAGGTGAGACTAGGTATTTTAGAAATGTATGCTAGGTGAGACTAAACCTGTGAAACACTACTATAGAGTCATAGTCACTGTTTTGAAATAGAGTTGTGCCCGAGACTGTCATTTTACCAGATGACAAAGGGACAGCCACGGTATCTTACACCTGTAACCATGTACTGATTTACCTGTGTATATCTATTGGACAGACAAGTGGCTTGATTAATTGACAAGATCAATTGCCTTCACACAAGGTGTTTATATTAGGTACAGCCCAGCAGAATCCCATGTGACCACATGTGAATAGTCAGTGGGTGTAATTGCCCATATATTCTCAGGTAGATATAATATTGAAAAGAAAAATATGTGTCAGTGGGTGGCTACATTGTCCTAGCAACCATCTTTAATCTGCCACTGAAGTAAAGTTGTAACTGTATGCACCCTGCAACTATGAATTTTGTCATCATTTTAACAAGTGGCAATTTATTAATGTACCACCAGGCCAGCAGTATACATGTACCTGCTACGTTGGTGTGGTATCCAGAGGAGGGGGTGGTGGTTGGGAGATGTATTTTCTTTTTCAACCATCAGCATGTACATGTACCTGACGTGTATACATATATAACAAAGAAATTAAAATCAGACTAACTCAATTTTTTTTCTTAATTTTCCTATAAGAAGGCAGTTTGGGATTAACAAACTTAAAATTAATTACACATCTTTAGTTTGATCTTTACCTTTATATATATAGTGCCATATGCCATGATATAAGATTTTTCTGAAATTTTATCTTTTCTTGACTTATACATTGTATGTATTACTCTATTGATGTCGTGTTATAGAGACACCTTGCATAAAAAGTATAAAATTATAGGAAAACTTACCACATTTACCCATATCACATAACTGATACTGATCCCCCATCCTGACACTACAACATTGAGATAGGAAATGAGATGTGAATTTAAACTATGATAAAGTGTACTTTTAAACTTTTTCCTCCAAAATAGTACAGCTAACTTTAGATTTTCTATAGTGACCAGAGATATTGTACAAATTATCTTTGTACATTTATATGTTCAGTTGAAATTTTAAGTAATCAAAAAACAAAATATATGTGTATCGTTAATTTGATATGAAGAAATATTCAGTTGAATGATTCTTTCTTTCTCTTTCAATTCTCATATCACAAAGGAACCCATTTCATTATTAACAATTATTGAAATATGTACTTCAATCTTTTAAACTTTTCTAAACACTGTAGTACACTTACCAAGTTAAGTAACTTTGCTCCCAACTGTATGTGTGCGGGTTTTAATATTTACTGTCCCTTCCATGTCTCTTGACATACGTACAAAAACGTATGTATTTAAACCCAATTTATTATTATTGCTTATTTTGCAAATGCAAAAAGCCAAATACTCGTCCAAAAGTAATTTTCATTGTTATGCAACAGGATGTGTTCATAAGAAACCTGTGTAATCGACGCTGCTGAAGCATGAACTCAGATATGCATATGGAAAGCTTTTAACAAGTTATTTGCCGACGACATTCCGTCTCAAACAGTTAAGGTACCTGCTCGCTCAAATATTATTCAAAACCAGAATTTGAAAAAATAACAGTTCGCTCACGATTAAAACTTAATGTATTCCTTTGAGGAAAATCATCATTTTTTTTATCAATTCCAAAATGAAGTAAGTATTTACAATCCAGAATTGGAAGTAACAGCACAAAAACCTTTTATAATAAACAAAATTAAAACCAAAACATGAATGTTGGATTTAAATTTCGTCCAACTAATAAAATATCAAACCGCTGGAAAATAGTGAGAGGAAAATTTCGCAAAAAAATATTTTATCTTTGGTAAGAAGAAATGGAAAAACCAAATTAGCAGCACGATCAAGTATGAGATTAGCATTCGAACTCTTTTTTTAGACACAATACCCTTGACGAACGCTAACTATGGAGACATGGGTTTCATACTGCAGGTTTTTTTCCCGATCATTTACTGTAAATAGACCCATTAAATGGTAACGCTCAAAGATAAAAAGATTGTAAAGAGCAAGCATGTCGATAAATGAATGATTTTTATGTTATACAGGTTCATTCAAGCAGAATTTCCGTATTTGAAGGACGAATACGAGTATGATGTACGCCGGACCTTGTCACTGCAAGCTTTGGATCGACTAGATACGTATATGAACTACACAGACTTCGAAGACTTCCTGTCGTTAGTGAACATCACCACATCAATGGTTAGCATAAGGAACAACAAGTCTGACGTCAGAATCGGAGATGACATCACGATCGACATTGTATTGTACAACGGAAGAGGACTACGGGCAACACGCGGAGGTGACATGCTCAGGGTGTGGCTACGAGAACATTCCCTGAAAGCTTCTGTTTCCGGTTATGTGATTGACCATGACAACGGGTCCTACACGGGAGTTGTCAAAGCTATGTGGGCCGGCAATCCAGAGCTAATGTTTTCTATTGGAAATACCAAAGAACACGTCGGAATTTATATGAATATGGTACATAAATATGGTTTGACAACTTTCCTCAGAGCAGGATTTAAAAAACAAAATGTGACAGAGTCAAGTTTATGTAGCGTTGTACCAAATATTCCTAACGTGACGGATTACTGTAACTTTACAGCCCAGAATTATAACTTCTCATTTTTCTGTGGTAAACCGAAAAAACTAGGTTGTGAAGATTGGGCTGTGTATGAACATACCTCTACACACCCTTGGAACGCGAAGCAAAAAATATTATTCTTGTAAGTATATTTATTTTTTATTTCAACGTTTATGTGACACAAATTAAGAACTATATATCATCTAGATTTACACGGTACGTTGCTCCATCAAAGATGATGATTATGCAACAGTTTCAACAGGAAATAGTTCAAAACAGAATATTTAGATAAGAACAAAAAGATGAAAATGAACATATCAACTAAGATATGTTATAAATAAATAGAAAAAGAAAACAGTTAAAAACAAACTTGTTACATGGAGTATTTCTGTAGCCGTGCTATCTACATGTAGGTGTATTTTACCTTGATGATTTATATTAACCGATCGTGAACCGAGCCTCTCTTGGTATTTACATCCCTACTTAACTCATCTAGGGTCTCATTGATTCGATATACACATACTTATTCAGCAAATATTGTTTCCGTAATAAATTTTCAATGTTGATGGACAAACATACACCGGGTTTTTGGGAATGCAGACAACTTGCTAGCATTTTGGTCACCATCAAGATATTAATTGCAAATGATCAACTTCCAGTTGTGATATAGATATCGACAATTTGTTAATTATCTTACCTTGTGGTTTTGTTTTCACTTGGGTTCGACCCTGATTTATTTGGCAGGTATCTTCGATAGAGCTGGGGTGACATGTACGGCAATAAACGTAAATTCATTGTCCTGGTAAAATGATCTCAGCGAAAACGTCGGTAGTTAATATTTTACGCTAGATTCTTCGGCTACGCGTTTGAAATGCGTTTTTTTTTCACTTTGTTATTCTAAAATTTTCTTCAATAATCAAACAACCCTTTCCAATTCTAACGCAAAGGATTAACTCGTTTAAGAAGTTGTGCTCAAACTCTCTGTGGACATGGTTGTTGTCATCTTGACGTCATATTCGAAAGCGACGATAGGATAATCATAGCATAGCAAGCCCATGCTTTACAAAACACTAACACTAGGAGCGTCTTCCGCTTTCATTTTATTTCAAAAAGAAGCATGTTCATAAACATTTCTTTCATGCTTTTTGCAATTCTTTAAATCTCCATTTTGAACATTATGGAAAGTTCGCAATAGAGTAGTTCCGTTGAACCGGACAATTTGTGTTGTGTTGTATCTGGGATATATTATTCATTCTAATCGTAGCCAATAATACTCGAAATATAAATACTACAAATTTCGAACCTTTCTCGGTTCATTAGCCCTTTAATAATAAATACAAAAACTGCGAAATTAAAACGATGTGATATGTCAATAATATAAGGTAAAACTGACAGGCATTGCTAAATCGACGACAAATGTATCAAGATGTTGTTTGATAACTATTTTATGTTTGGATTTTCAATTGTTTTTTTGTTCTCGGTCTGGCCAATGATAACACATTGAATGCAAATGTGTCCGGATAATTATACCAGCATGATATCTGCCAAGGTCACAAATGCAGTAAATGAGTTAAAATATCAATAACATTGTTTTTCCTGTAAATCTGCTCTTTGTTTCATGAAAAAATATTGCTCTCATATATTGTATGAATACATTCAAATGTTATTCATCATCAAATCAAAACATGGACTTTTTGTGAAAATTGTTTTGTTATGTATAATTGTGTTGCAAGGGGAAAAATACAATTAAAATTATCCTATGTTTCAGAAACTATAAGTATTTCAAGAAAAGTGTAGGGAAGCTGACCATATTAGCTGGTAAGTACTGTAGTGATACGTACGGGGCCAAGGGCCACATAGTTCTCTGAGCATATGACTGAAGTGCTTGAAACTGCTGAATCCTGTAATCAGGTCCCAAAAACAAGAGACCTTGCATCAAGTCTGTTATAAAATTTAACAATGACATTTTTCTTTCCAAATCTAGAAATGTGTCTATAAGACACGGATGCCGCGCTCCCTGTTTGACCATAAAGGCAAGGTCAAAGGTCAAGGTCATCAATTCCGTCATTTGTCAAGTTTAAAGGGTCAAAGATCACGGAAAAACCAGGGTGGGAGAGGCGGGGTGTAATTATGTGAGTGTCGTTTTGTGCAACAGGTGCCTGATAATACTGACAGCTCTAAATAACACACTTTCGTTATAGTTGCAAAAGTTCAATTGCTTCGAAAATGCTCTGGACACCAGTTCATCTGGTACAACCACACTTTATTGATTTGTTTGTTATCTATACTAGCCGGCGAGCGTTTGTTACACACACGTCTGATGAACACTCAGATTATCCGAATATAATTTTACAATTTCATTTAACTATGAAAACAGAGAAGTATTAATTGTGTTTGCTAGACGTTGAACAAGAAAACATTAACTTCCTTGATATGCACCGTCCGTCAAAAGCTGTTTTATTAAGAATCGGGTCGAAATAGGTCGCATGTGCACATGCCATGCCGAGACAATATTTGCATTAGGGCTATTTGTAATACGGACTAAATGACTTTCGCATGGTAGAAGCTTTAAATACTGTTATTATGTTAGTTACAGAAAAATATATGTCAAACGATTCAACCTGCCGTTACGTTTTGTTATCAAATACAGGAACTACATCTTCAATTGATAATCATCATATCATTCATCCCCCTCCTTTCCCACCTCAATCCCGTTCAGAGACTGTCAAATTTTGGAATTAATAACTTTATCCCGACTACGCTTATCTGCTGACACTCTCAGTTTACAGGTTTAAACTTCGCCCTGGTCAAATCAAAACACACCCACCATCGTGTCTCTATCTATATAACTACATTTTCATTTCAATATTAAATTGGTTGGGGTTTTTTTGTGTGTTTTTTTATCAACTCCAGCAGCAATGGAAAGTTCCCATAGGGAATTGGGGTACCCCTGGGAATATATGGGAATATATGTTTAACTCGCATAGGATTATTTCCAGCAACCGCAAGCTGTCTAATACGTATATGTGTAGGCCCTGAGGCAAAATCACAAAGTAGATATATGGTAAAGTATTTCCCTATACTCATTTTTTTCTCTCTGATGATTTAGGCACAGCAGTACTCAAGCTGCAGTGTAAAAGTCCCATATACAAATATCTCCAACATATGTTCCATTTGTAGTAACAATTGAAAGCAAATAAACTTAAAGTAAAATAGATGTTGAATAAGAAAACTTATTGATGCAAGCGTCAAAGTTGGATCGCAAACAATACCGTACATGATAACATAGAGAAAGAAACATGTAATATTAAATTGGAATATTAATTATGAAATGTGAAAATATGTTGATATGAAATAACACCAGATCCAGTCAATACGTTTTGGATCAAATATGATATTGTTTTCAGTTTTTGCAATAAACATCAATGGATGATCCATGGATATTAGAATAAAATATTAGGTCATGTGGTGATAGCATTATCTCGACAGTAGAAAAATGTGTATTGCAGGTGTTTTCCCGACGTCTTTAACAACGTTATGAAATTATCTGATTTCAACATTTATACAACGTTATACAAACGTTGTCCCACCGTGGTACAACAACAAAGACGATCTATTTCGTGTCCTTCATATTCTCTATTTTGATTCTGCAACAATAAGATATATGTATTTTTAGGAAAAGATTCTATGTAATTAATGAATAATCACGTCGAATTGTAGAAGTGTTTTCTTTTCTATCGGATGTTAATGTAGAAGATATCGACTTTGTTAACATGAATACTTTATTAACAATAAAGTAATAGCAGTATAACATTTTTTTCCGAAACATTATATTTGTCAATATCGATTGATTAAGCGTATGGTAAAGTGACACACGTCAACATATGTCCACATGGTGACACAACACGTCAACATATTTTCAGGGCGCGGACAGAAAGTTCGCACAATCAAAGTTCATGGAGAACTTCACAGCTTCTTTAAGTCCCTGTTTTTATTTGAATGTTTTTTTCCATTTTTCGACTCAGATTCTGGTGCTGCAGGAGAATCGAATGTATCCTGTCATAACGTCAGCAGTACCATAACATGGCAGACCACCAATCCGACAGGCTACCTCTACAACGGTAATTGGCGATCGCTGATATGTAAATCAACACTCTCATGGAAGTACGACTCCTACGCCAAGTGTCTAGAGGACCGCCCTGTACTTATTACAGGTGATTCTACCACAAGAAACTGGTACTCGCCTTTAACCGCACTGTTAAAGTTACGCGTATTCGTTGGTCGCCATGAAATCAAGGATAAAGCATGGCAAAAATTTGCTGAAGCAGAAAATAAAAAGAAATCATTATCGACGTTCTGGTCACCACACGAAATCCCGTTCTTCAGCTACGAACAGGACAAACGCAACTTTCGAACTGTAGCATCAAGAATAGACGATTTGCCTGGAAACAAAAGTGCTGTTGTTTTATTACATTGGTTCGGTCATATGGCAAGGACAACTCCGAAACATTACAGGAAGCATATAACGAGTGCTAAACACGCCATATTACGACTGTTGAAACGTTCTCCTCGTTCAAGCATTCTGATAAAGGGTCCTCACTCTTTCACGTACACTAATTTTCTCGAACCCCTAGATTACATCGGTAGAATCTACGGACAGATACTGTACGAAGAATTCAAAGATTTACAAGACAAGGTTTATTATATAGATCAGTGGGATGCAACAGTAGGAAATGAAAATTTAGACATACACCCACATCATTCCTTTGATCTGGTTATGACCAATTTTGTATTTTCATTTATTTGTAAGTAACCATTTGATACGTACGGTGGTACATTTAGGACATGCACAATACCATTTTCTACATTAATTATCTCGAGCGCTCGACTTATAATCTCAAACGCTCGACATAGTATCTCGAGCGCTGACATAAAAGTCGAGCGCTCGAGATAATTAATTTATAAAAGGATATTATGCATGTATCGTAGATACGTCATGTCTACCAGCGGATTATTGAAAATGTTAAAACAACCGCCCGTTGAAGTAACGCATACAAGAACAACCCGTTTCCATAGATGAGAGAAGATTTAAAACTTCACTAAAATGTAAAAAGAAATTGTATGTAAAATTGACAAAATGTATTGAGAATGATATTATATCATTAACCTAGTAACTCGCAATCATACTCGGGGTTAAATAGGTGCGATGTGCAATAAACTACCACCCTCACTGTAAAAATACTGACATTAAACTGCAGTATGAAAATAACCACCATCCTCATTACCAAAGTATTGACATATACCTAAATTAAGACAAGAACCACCATCCTCACTACCAAAGCATTGACATATACCTATATTAAGACAAGAGCCTCCATCCTCACTACCAAAGCATTGACATATACCTATATTAAGACAAGAGCCTCCATCCTCACTACCAAAGCATTGACATATACCTAAATTAAGACAAGAGCCACCATCCTCACTACCAAAGTATTGACATATACCTAAATTAAGACAAGAACCACCACTCTCACTAACAAATACTATGAAATTTAGCTACAGTATGACAAGAACGACAAACCTAACGACCAACTTATGTGACATTAATCTACAGTTTGACAGGAATCACCGTCGTCACTACACAAATTATGACATTTTACGTACAGTATGACAAGAGCAACCACTCTCTCCAACAAATTATCCGAAATTTACAACAGTATATCAAGAACTACCACCCTTGGTACCAAATACTGATATTTACCAACAGTTGACAAGAGCCAACACTCCTCACTACTTAAAAGATGACATCTACTTACATTTAAAAAACAACAACCACCCTCACCACCAACTTATATGACATTATATACAGTAATGCACATGCAGTTCCACAATGACCTCAACCTCCAATACCAAATCATATGACATTTATTTACAGTATGATAGCAATCACAAACCTGACTACCAAATACTGTGACATTTACCTACAGTATGACAAGGACCATCGTCCTTACTGAAAAAGGTCTTGTAGAATGACAATATGCCTATAACATTGACCTACAGTATGCCAAGAACCACTGCCCTTACTACCAAATTATATAACATTTACCTACAGTAAGACAACAAAACCTCTATCACTACCAAATTCTGTTACATTTACTATAGTTACATCCGTACTATTGTATTATTGATTGGATATTTCTGTAATGGCCAAGGTATTGGTCCGAGGCCTGCTACATTGCCTGAGGCGAAGCCAAAGGCAAATTTAGCAGGCCGAGGACCAATATCTTGGCCTAAATAGAAATAACCAATTAAAAATGTCTTTATTTATTAACCCTGTGAAAATTACCAAAGAAGAGTCATGACAAACGCAGAATTTCTAAGCACACACCTTGTAAAAAAATAAACCTCGTCAGTCTGTCATGATTGTGTAACGGTAGGTAATGCCATTGAATCTGGTTGTGTGGCGGCCATTGTGTAACGATCTGGTTGTGAGGCGGCCATTGTGTAATGGTAGGTAAATGTGAGGTCAACATTAATAGGTTTTTGTAGGTTCACGCCATTGAGTCTGTTTGTGAGATAGACTAAGTATCATACTGCAAGTAAATGTTATTGCGTTGGTCAGGGATATACATGTACACATTATTTTACACAATAATGGCTGACTCACAACAATAATCAATGGCATGTACCTGCCGTTACACAATAATGGCTGACTCACATGTACAACAAGAATCAATGACATGTATGTGCCGTAATACAATAATGGCTGACTGACAACAAGACTCAATGGCGTGTTCCTGCCGTAACACAATAATGGCTGCATCACAACAAGACTCAATGGCATGTACCTGACGTAACACAATAATGGCTGACTCACAACAAGAATCAATGACATGTCCCTGCCGTAATACAATAATGGCTGACTGACAACAAGAATCAATGACATGTACCTGCCGTAATACAATAGTGGCTGACTCACAACAAGAATCAATGGCATGTACCTGCCGTTACACAATAATGGCTTACTCACATGTACAACAAGAATCAATGACATGTACCTGCCGTTACACAATAATTGCTGACTCACATGTACAACAAGAATCAATGACATGTATGTGCCGTAATACAATAATGGCTGAATGACAACAAGACTCAATGGCATGTCCCTGACGTAACACAATAATGGCTGACTCATAACAAGAATCAATGACATGTACCTGCCGTTACACAATAATGGCTTACTCACATGTACAACAAGAATCAATGACATGTACCTGCCGTAACACAAGAATGGCTGACCCACAACAAGAATCAATGGCATGTACCTGCCGCAACACAATAATGGCTGACTCACAAAAAGAATCAATGACATGTACCTGCCGTTACACAATAATTGCTGACTCACATGTACAACAAGAATCAATGACATGTACCTGCCGTTACACAATAATGGCTTACTCACATGTACAACAAGAATCAATGACATGTATGTGCCGTAATACAATAATGGCTGACTCACAACAATAATCAATGGCATGTACCTGCCGTAACAAAATAATGGCTGCACCACAACAAGACTCAATGGCATGTCCCTGCCGTAACACAATAATGGCTGCATCACAACAAGACTCAATGGCATGTACCTTGAGTGTCACAATTGATACTATAAGAAACTAACCTACATCAGTGTTGTTTCTATAATGTATATTTGATGTGTGTCCTTTGTATTTTGTTCTATTGTTTTTTGAGTGATTCTGATTCACGTATTTTGTGTTTTTCACCTGTAATATAACAATGTTTATACTTTTGCCCTTTTCCACTATCTTGCTATTGCCACGAGAAAAGTATATTTGTTCTCTATACTACTCTGTTACAATTCATTTACTTATTTTCGAATCATATATGTATAAGAGCACATTGCAACTATAATAAAACGGTTTATGCGCATATAATTTGTCACCGCGTTCATTGGTTCTTGATTATTGTGTGCTTAAGCATTGAGAGTAAAAGTTGAATAATCAAATGTGGTATACATGTATATACATTTTTATATATATCAACTGCTGTTAAAACACATTACTCTGATCAAATTTAACGTTTTATGTTAATCAAGGGAGACTCTCTTTTACTCTTCCTAACCAAATGAACCACCACATTGGCCTTTTGGGATCTAGTTATCAAACCACCATAGCCAAACACAACCATGGGAAAGTTAATACGGATGACGGAGGGCTGTTTCGATTTTTTTCGGAGAAGCTATTATAGACCGAAAGAACAATTGTGTATCGAAAGAAATACATTTGTATAGCAAGGAGATGCAGGGGTCGCACCTGAACAGGTTTTTTTCTGTAGCGAAATAGCGGTTAAGCATCAAATAACTGTTTAAATAATTTCTTTTAGTTATAATAAATTTACTGTTATTTTGAGTTGAATTCGAAATGGGTTTTTGTCATTATTATTTTTATTGTGTTTAAAAAACTGTTCATTATCATTATACAATTGTATATATAGTATGTATCTGGAACTACTTTGCACCGCGCGGAATGACAATACTATGATCGGAGTGCACGAGGCAGCTGAGAACACATACAGGTAATTGTGTTTGAAGTGGGTTTTTTTAAAATCATGAATGCTTTGTGATAAATATAATCTTACATGAGTCATGAATGTCTATGTCAAACTGAATGTATTAAACGAGTTCAATAAATTCCATACGACATTGACATTCATGTAAGATCCTCTATTTCTGCCACTGTACTGAACGCTCCGCTGCAAAACTGTTCCTCTCGTGTTCCAGAATTATATGTTTTGGCTGGAGATGCCCTTTTCTTGACAAGATCGGGAAAAGTGTTAACGCTTACGCATTTTCCTCCGTTCAATCTAGTGGGCATGGTGCTTCGGGAGATTGGGGGTTACTTGTGCTCGTTCCTGGTGGTAGCACACATAACGTTGATGTAGGTTTGGTTCACGGTTCCCTATTACTTCTAATATACAAGCCTCTAATATTGCCTGTTTGTTATGATTTATTTTGGCAGCTTTGATCTTCGGCAATGCACCAACCTTCTAGATCCACTTACGCGTTTTGAAGATATCACAAAAGGCTTCGCTCAGGCAAGCTTTTCTGCAAATAAAATTAAACAAGGGATAGGGCACAAGTTTTTACAGCCTTCTCCCGTCATACATTTACAATTAAATGTCAACAATGATAATAGGCATAAACATAAAGTAGATATATTTAAATATATATTGAATTTAGTACCGGAATGTTGCCGGTACAGATGGTACGTGTCTAAACACCTTCCCTACACCAAGGGACAAACCTTTCTGATTTTTTTTTATNGGGTGCTGATATAATTAAGTTTGGACGTTGATGATCCTTAAATAGTTGTTTTTATCTGCAGTTAAAGCATGGCCTGATTATCAGCTCTTCCAAGACGAGCGCCCTTAAATCGACTGTTAAATCGATCCCCCACTTCCAGTAAATGGTGAAGACATACCTAGGAATGAATTAATGAATAATTTAATAAAAATGTTAAAAAGAAAATGAATAAGTTAATACAATACAACATCATTGCTTACCAATTACTGCAGGTTTATTAGCCTTAATGTATTTTGGAGAACAATATTATCTCGTTTGAAACCTTCTGTCAGAAAATGGCAACGTGCATCGAACGACTTGATCATAAACAAAATTCGAAGCATTTTTGCACTGCACGCTAGATAACCCTCTCAACACAAATTAGGCACACTGTTACACAATGGGCACTCCAAAATCTAGATATACACATCCGAGGCGACAAAAGACTTATATAGGTACAATGTATCTCCATTACAACCAGAACTTTCTGGGCGATA